CCCCCCACCCCCATTTCAATAGTTGATTTGATTTGAGAGGATATAAGCTTTGAGCTAGACTCTTTGGACTGGGGGATGTGATACGGCTTCGACCGACGCCATGGCCTGTTCTAGGGCGGCATGTTTGTTCGTGCCTGGTTTAGAGTTAAGGGTTTTATTAGGCGCTTTGAAGGGTATATATTGTTTCTAATTATGAGGTGGTGTTAAACAGATGATCCTGCGTTACGTGCAGCGGTTCTATTGGTGACATGATTCGATGCAGGGCTGCTGATTGTTTCGGATACAGAAATGTCAGGCGTCTTTGGTTTGTTGGTTCGCTTAGACCCTGAGACTTCTGAGACATGTGTGACGCCTCATCCCGGCGATCTGGAAGCAAGGGTATTGATTGAAACAGTCTCTGTCATCTCGTCGCTTGTATGACGATAATGCAAATTATTGTTCAGCATGAACCGCTACACGCTGTATTCAATGCCTTTAATTCGGCGACAATACTCCTGAGTTCTTCTAGCTCCAAGGCTCCAAAGAAAAGAATACCTACTCATCGGATATAGAAAGGAGGCCCGTGGAGAACTATTTCAGTGTGGATATCGAGGTTGACGCCGCAAGGTCGAATGCGGAAGTGAACTATTGACGCTTTTGGTGTGGAGGCGATTTGGGGACTGAAAGGGGAATAATGCGGTTCAAGAGAATGTGTTTTAGGAGACTATCAAGCTTTTTGATGGACTTGCCAGTATCTATCTTTCCGAAAACTCGGTAAACCGTTCTATTCTGGAATGCAAGTTGGCCGTTGTGATAATAATCCTCAAACTGCTATTCATCGTCCATCGTTATTTTCTTCTCCTGTAGGAAGCCCTACAAACTGACTCAATATACCCTCACAGAGGCGTTTCACACAAGCCCATCCCTTATAAGCTTACCAGTAAGGCTGTGTCCAGCGGCGTTAACGATAAGACGTGCTGTCACTGCAGATCATATGACCTGTGCCTGGCGGCTTAGTTACCGGTTTGGTGTTTTACGCTAGGAGACCGGCTCACCCGTCCCTCATTCCTTGCATCTTCGATGGTCTGCTATCGCCAAGTCGAGACTTTGCAACTTGCACTACTGGAGTTTTATGGACTGTGGCTTGGGAAATGGATGCAGGAACGGGAACTTTAACTGTTCGAAGTGGTAACTGGGGGCTAAACAATGGAAGTATTTCTTCCGTTGCCTCTGATGTGTCAAAGTGAAGCAATGCCGGTGTTGGTACTGTCGTAGATTCGTGATGATCCACTGATCTTCATTTCAACCAAATAAAGTGGCTCTAGGATACAATACAGTTGTGTACATATTCTGACACTATTAAGAGTTCAGTTTGACTCAATCTCCCGTTCGTCCGTCTGTAGGTTATTTGTTGTGTCTGAGACAAGCACTCTGACTTCTGCCTACATTCCTTCCAAAACACACTATCTTCAACACCCTCGCTGACGGTATAAGCCTAGACGTTGGTGCGCCGGGCGCTTGAATTACCTATTTCAGCGATGAGTATACGTTAAGGAATGTATAAATCATTATCGCCACACGTTTCGCGGAACGCCAGCAACCTCCCCGAAACCATCCCCTCTCTTCTAGAGTTATTCCATAACCCTTCTAAAACTTTGCTAGAAGGATGATCCATCAAGCTCGGCCATATTTTATACGATAGAGCCCATATACTACCACTCCTTAATCAGAAGATTACTGTCAGTATTATGAACCTCAATAAAAACCATGCTACGGAGAGCTCTTGTTCACAGGGTCAAGGATAGTATAGCCACAGGTCTCAGCAATTTTGTATATTTCATACTCAAGAAAATCCATCACAAAACCCAGAAACCTACTGCACTTCTGGTTCTGACCTGTCCGACCGCATGGCTTTGTGGCGTTGAAGCTTACACTAACCAGCGACTATACTCTTTTATATCTCGGTCATAAATCGTAATCAGGCAAAAAAGAAAGAATAACTCCTGTATAGCTCAACTCCGGTGTCTTGTTGACATCAGCCGGCCCCGGACGCCCACTGCACGTCCAGCCGGATCTCATGTGTGAAAGGAATGATGAATCCAAATACTAGCAAGTAAGTTGAAGATACTCCAGCTCAGACCTCGACAGAAACGGGAACAGACACAACCGCGCAGGTGCCATTACATGGCATCTGCAACTTCACGAGAGCACTGTAGCCACCACGGATGCACTCTGCCTCAACGCCCTTGGCACGAAGGACACTGTTGGCAACACGAGAGCTGTCACCATCGTAGCAAAGTGTCAAGACTCTCTTTCCTCGAAGGATAGACATGAGAGCCTCAGCGCTAGCATTTCGGTTGCCAGCCTTGTCCTTAACGTTGAAGAGGCTCTCAAGCTCTAGCCAGAGCTGCTCGAGCATGGCGCAGTCATCGGCTGGGTTGGCAAAAGGACTACCGCTGGAGGGTCCATTTCGAAGTGCGTCGAGGGGTATGCTGACCGAGTTGGGGAGATGGAAAGCATCATAGTCTGACGAACATCGGAAATCGAGAATCTGGGTATTGACCGAAGGTGTCAGAGCCTTGTCGATTTGGTCTGCGAGTGACAAAACGGTATCATGAGTACCCAGAGGGTGAATGGTGAAGTAGTTAGACAAAGCCGTCAAAGAGTCGAGCTCCCAGGCATCGTCGTATCGGTAAAGATCAACGTTCCTCAAACGCTGAGTCTGTTAGCTCAACGCTATCCATAAAGAAACAATCTGACGTACCTCATTGCGAAGAGGGCTGAACTTCTCAGGGCCCAGGTTCTGGAAATACTCATTCAAGTATTGGAAGGGTAGATCACAACACATAAAAACACAGTGAATCTCGCCATCAGGGCCAGCGAGATTCGATAGCGTACCCTCCTGCTTATGTTTCTCAATACGTTGGAACAATCCTTTCAGAGTGAAGCCCGATGAGGGACCACAGACAATACCCTGTCGAGTAAGGTCCAATGAAAGAGAGTATGAGTCTGGCGCGCCGACTTCCTCGAGAGCATCGTGAGATGAGAGGTATGGGAACTCGACCTCACTCATTAACGAGTATTCTCGAGGGCCAGGGACACGTTCTCCAGCGTTGGTGCATACACTATATACATTAGATCTCATTCTTGTAGGCTCAGGGCAGTGGACTTACGCAATTCTGTACACCGAAGGTTTGGCCTTCTTGAAATAAGTGCCCAGTCCGGTCATAGTACCTGTATCGGTTGTTAACTAACGGTCGGAATTAAAAGAATATGAGCCTTACCAGCGGTGCCCATTGAGGCAGCAATCACATTGATCTCGGGGAGCTGACGGTGGATCTGAGGACCAGTCCATCGCACATGAGCTTTCCAATTCTGCAACCTGTTAATTATAGGTTTTCTTAACAATTACAGCACAGAGCTCACATCGGCGTTGATGTATTGATTGGGACTGCACACAGACTCAGATTCTGCGTCCTTTCGAGCCGCAGCCCGAATGCCACCTCGCTCATCGACAGGTGTAGGCTGAGCAGGTCCACCAAATAGAGTCCTTTTCGTTTGTTAGTCGTTCTCTTGAAGGGCAAAGCAGCTAGGTAGCTTACACGTTGAGGCCAAAGAACTGCATCATGCGCAACTTTGTCTCACTTGTCTTGTTGCTCAGATAAGCGTGGACGTCGTCGATGCCGTGAAAAGCGCGAGCGACCATGGCCATTGAGATGACAGTTGAACCTGAGCTGCTCTCGACGATTGTCTTCGTCTTGCCGGGCTCCACACCCTTTTCTAATAAGTTCATAGCTGCGGGAATCAGCTACATGCTCGGTGGCTTTGTGAGATTGGAGCACTAACCTGGCATCACCTTGACATTTGTTGCAGGATGCATGGTCATCATCTTAGCATAGATTCGGACACCATCTTGACGGTATGGGTTGAGGCTATCAGGGATTTCAACAAGGGGCAAAGGTGGTGATTGTTCAGGATCGAAGTAGTTGCGAACCGACTCAGGGCCCTTGAAAACATTCAGATGTTCAGAAGCAGTCATAATGAGAGGTCACGTATGGTCTGCAAGGATCAAAAGTAACAAATAAACACTGTGAATATGAAGATGTCACTCGAAATCTGTTGTTGTAAGACACAGAAACAGTCGGGCAGATGGGTTGAGGGAGAAAGAAAAGAGAAAAGTTGGATCAAGAATCCGAGGATAGGCCCAGGTTTTTAAGCATACATAGCTCTCGAAACGAGCTGCTCAAGTAAAACCCTGTTGGTCTTGCACCCACGCTTCTCTGGGTCTAACAGCGGAGATGTCACATCCACAACTGAGTTCTGGGTGGCCTGGATGCTCGAGCAACTCCGGGGAGAGTATGCACGATAGACCGAAGTTCATCTTAATTGGCGTGAAGCCGTGGGTAACAGTTAATCCCACGCACACAGCGTGTAAGCTCAAATGAAAGAGCTGGGTTAAGGTGCACAAGAATTGCGGTATGTAGTTTCTTTGACCAATTGCAAACCCCACGATGAAGCCACCAGGGACCCAAGACCAGGATGAAGAAACTGGTTGACCAATACAGTGAGAGGAGTCTCGACGAGAATCACTAGCGTCTTCGGGTCGTCGTCACTTTCTTCGGACCATCGGCTGTGGAGCTTGAAAGGCCAAAGAATCCTGCAACATGGTGGATATTGGTTGGTGGACTTGACTGCGCACAAATGGGTCTGAGGTGACTCGGGAACGATGAGTTGCACCCTTTGACAGCAAGAGAACAAATCACAGCTTCTTGAGCATCATCACTCGAAGCTAGCGGCGGATGGGGGCGAACAAGGCGGAGTTGATTGAGTGTGCTCTGAGTCTTGGCTCGCCTCGCCCTGTCAAGACAGTTGAAGCCTTTGGGCTGAGATCAAAGCGGATAGTTGAGCCGGCCCCTACAGGTGCAGTAGTCTCTATTCATCCATGGTCGATCGAGACTGGGAGACTTCGGAGTTTGCAAGACTATTAAGCCCGAGGTCATGCGGTATTTTACGGAACATTGAGTTGTAGATGAAAATGCAAATGTGAGTCTCTGCACAACCTCCTCGGCTTCTGTGGATAATAAGACATCATAACAAGAAGAGCATGGCGTTGTGTAGCGGGGAGTTCATCGATCCATCTGGAAATTTTGAGGCTCGATGGAACTCCCCGCTGGTGCCGCCCCGCCTGAAAACGCCAGCGACTATCGTCAGGTGACCAGACACGTGCAATCCATTTTCCAGAGTGGATTCAGTGGAGTCGAAAGAAACTTGGTGGAGCCGATACCGGAAGCCGTTAGCATCAACTCTGTCTGTTAAAAAGATCCATTTCATGTCATCATACTCCAGACTATTGTCCCAACAACCTCTAAAAGAAAGCTATAACTAGACAAACAAGTTGCCTACACGACTCAGCTATAAACTCTCTTTCCTTCGCTAAGCAAATTTTCTGCATTCAAATGCTCAATTTACGATCTAATTGCCTTGTTTAGAGTTCAAAGCTCCATATTGTGATGTGCAAGCAACACGAAAAAACGCCTCCCTTCATTATAAGCCCGCTTTAATGTGAAGAAATGAAGTTTCAGATCCGCCATTTTTAGCTGCTGGACCCCGTTAATATGACGGCATTACAGCGATCCCCCTATGGCAGTGGAGTTGTTGGTAGCATACATATTATAGACAATGCCGCGTCGTTTCACAGATCATGTCGTGTTTGTTTCGTCGATCGAAAAGGAAGGGTTCTCGCATACAGTTGTTACTGGGAACTTGGAAGAAGGGATATCAATCACTTCATTCGACAGACGGCACCTCCCGTCTTTGCACCTAAACGATAATCTTCTGATCACCTTTTCCAAAACATTACAAGATTTAGTTCTTGCTTTAATACTTTTCTCACACACTGGTTGTGTTAAGTAGGACCATGGTTCCTATGATATTCTTTACAGCCTTGGTCCTGGCTGGTTTCAGTACGGCCAAATTCGTCAAAGTTGAAGACATTTCTGTCCTTCCAGTCGGGTGGGAAAAGATCGACCAGGCTGTCGATCCTAGCCATACGTTGCGGCTCTCTATCGCTTTGCGACAGCCCGATATCGACAACCTGAAGACGAGCCTACGAAGACGCGATTGTACATCTGGGAAGTACACACAGAACCACCTCACTCAAAAAGAGGCACTCGCCCTCCGAGATCCGGATCAAAAAGATGTCGGCCAGGTACTGGGATGGCTGAAGAGTAAAGGAGTCGCAGCAAAGGCAACGCCGGACAAGGATTGGATTCATGTCAAGACAACTGTCAAAGCTGCTGAAGATCTACTCGATACCAAGATTGGCTTTTACAAGTTTGAGGACCAACAGCCTGTTCTTCGAACAGAGCAGTATTCGGTACCTGAGTCTGTTGCTGATGCCGTCAACTTCATTCACCCGATTGCCAACTTCATGCGGCCCAAGAAGGAACTCACCACCCCCGACCCAGCTCTGACACCAAGCATGCTTAAAACCATACAGCTCGAGAAGCGTACCACTCCTTGCAGTCGGGCTGTCACCCCCGATTGTCTCCGTGAGCAATACAACATTAGCTACCCTGCTTATAATGGTAGCTCTCAAATTCGCTTCGGTATTGCCGGTTTTCTGGAGGAGAACGCCAACTACGAGGACAGCAACGACTTTCTCAGAATCTATGCAAAGCCCCTTTACGAAGCCCGTTACAACTTCTCGGTCCAGTTGATCAACGGTGCCAACAACTCGCAAGAACTTTTCGACTCAGGAAACGAGGCGGCTCTTGATGTTCAATATGGCATGGCCCTCGGATATCCGACCAACATCACTTACTATCTTGCCGATGGTCGTGGGCCTACCTTGGACGACGATGGTGAAGAACTGCCCGAGGAGTACAACGACAATGAGCCCTATCTCGAATTCCTCGATTACCTTCTTGACCTCTCTGATGACGAGATCCCTCATGTCCTCTCTGTCTCTTACGGCGACAACGAAGTCTCAGTTCCCCGCAAGTACGCCGAGCGTGTTTGCTCCTTATTCGGTCTTCTGACAGCGCGTGGTACAACCATCGTGGCAGCCTCTGGTGATGGAGGTGCAAAGGGAGCAAGCAACTCAACCTGTCGAACCAATGACGGTAGCGACAAGGACGTTACCATGTCTGTATTCCCCGCAACTTGTCCATGGGTCACAAGCGTTGGCGGCGTCACTTCTGGGGTTGAGCCCTTTGAAGGTGCTGAGTTCAGTGGAGGCGGTTTCTCTCAGTACTTCCCTCGTGAGAAGTGGCAGGATTCTTCCATCAAGAGCTATGTCAAGGCTCTTGATGGACATCTCGACGGCTATTATAACGCCAGCAACCGAGGAGTACCTGACATTTCTATTTCGGCCACCAGCTTCATCACTCGTTTGAAAGGACAGGCAGTTGGTCTTAGAGGCACCAGCGCGAGTGCGCCTGTCGTCGCAGCTATGCTTGCGCTTGTCAACGACGCACGCGTCCGGAAAGGCAAAGAAGTGCTGGGCTGGCTGAATGAAGTCCTATATTCGGAGGACGTGCAAGCAGCTCTCCAGGATGTTCCCAAAGGAGAGAGCCGATCGTGCGATTTCAGTAAGGGTGGCAGCCCAGGAGGCTGGCCGGCAGCAAAGGGCTGGGATGCGATCACAGGCCTGGGGGTTCCATCTGACTTCCAGAAGCTATTTGACGTGTTGGTCGATATCTGAAGGGAGATCGATCGTCCGTTTTCGATTCTAAATAGTGTATTTTTTGATAGAATTAATAGCTCAGTTCAGTTTAATGCTGAGTGCTTGCATTAGGTGCTTTGATCAATCTTGTCGCATGTTTTAAGACACTCACTGTCAATCAATTCGACCATCCACTGTTTGGGTCAGTGGAGCCACTGCCGTGCGATGGGCAGTTCAGCGGTCTAGCGGCATTCCCGCGGCCGTCTACCGTCAGCAGTTCTCTAGGGCCCTTGGATCCAATTGAAGACCCATCGATAGGTCCCTCAGCCCAGCCTTCTGAAGAGCGCGTCACAATTAACAGGGACTTGGACACAAAGTCCTGGGCTCGCGTTCTGGCATTTTTCTGGATATTTGTTTCTCTGCTTCTGCACTTGCGGTTTGAATAAGCAGTGCAAAAAGGCACGGTTCGGCTTCAAGTTAGCTCGTAATAATCTTGTTGTTATCATTGCTTATACCGGCCATTGACGATCACTCGACTTCGGCGCGGTCCCCTCCCCGGTCGCGACCCCAGCTCTGGGCCTCTTTAACTCCAAAGTCACTCGCCCACCACAACCTTACTAAGTGAACTTGAACCTCACACCACAAACAACCTCACAGACACTCACGTTCCCGACGAAACAACCGTATTCTTACCATAATGACGACAAGCTCCTCTCGAACCTCTCTGTTATAAGCTTCTCCTGTGAATCTCGTCGTCGGCTTCACGCGATCGCGGCTCAGACCCGCCTGCAATTGTATCGCGACGCGGCCGACTTTCTCTGTTCACATTGCCCGCAATGCCGACTATACACGTCTCCAGAGACTCCCAGGACGAACTACAAGACATCGCCAATGGCCTACTAAAAGCCCGCAAGGTCATCGTAGTAACCGGTGCTGGGATCAGTACAAATTCGGGTATTCCTGTGAGCTCTATCAGACACTCCAGCGCTTGTCAGATGCGCTTTGGAGTGACCTCTTGGTACACTCAATTGTCGGTAATGGCTAATCGGACTAGGACTTTCGTTCTGAAAACGGTCTCTACTCCCTAATCAGCGCTCAATTCGACGCGGCAGCGCAACAGGCGCGTCTGAACGAAGGCTCAAGCGATGATAAATCCACCGACTTGGACATTCGCCGGCCAGTCAAGAGGAGAAGAATAGTTCACGATGTGTCTGCCAAGGTTGAGGAGGGCCCGGTCGTTATGAAGGAAGAAATAGAAGTTCAACTTGAAGATCCCGAACCGGAACACGAAAAGATCGCAGACACGATTCAGGTCGAAGGCCACCCGGACGATGAAGAGCAGCAGGTCCGCTTAGATGGGATGCCCGTGGTCAATCCCAGGACGACCCGTTCAACAATAGCTGTGGCCCAGCCTCCGAGTTCTCCTCTGTCTTCCCCTCCGCCCGAGGGTCTAAATATTCCACCATCGTCAGTCTTCCGGAGGACACGCCGCAGTCACTTGGCCGACTCTACAATTCCACCAAGCTCTTCACCTCTATCATCACCTCCGCCCGTCTTGTTTGACCCATTCTCTTCCGGAACATCCTCAGAAAACGCCCCAAGTCGGCGCAGCAGCACATCGCCATCAGAAGTCGACGATACCCCGCCCTCAAATGCAATCAACTTATCGCAAGCAAGCTTTGGCTCTGGCAAGAATACTTTGCCTAATATGAAAGGGAAGGATATGTTCGACGCGTCAATATGGTCAGATCCTCTCCGAACATCTGTTTTCTACACATTCGCGACCACGCTACGCCAGAAGGTTAGGGACGTTGAACCAACAAGTTCACATCGTTTCATCAGCCATTTGAGAGACCGTGGCAAGCTCGTGCGCTGCTACACTCAGAATATTGATCAGATCGAAGAAAAAGTTGGACTATCGACATGCCTCCTCGATGGCCCTGGAAGCCGCGGGCGCTTTTCAAGAAAGTCGACAGCCAACATAAACCAACTCAACAGGATGGTCGACGAGGTGAATGCCATGACCGACACAAATTCTTCAGACAAGTCTCAGCAGTCGTCGGATAACGAAGCCAGCCAGCAGTCTCAATGCAGTGAACCGAAATTTGAAAGCACTGTGCCTGCTTCCCAAACAGAATCCGATCAATGTACGACAGATGAAGCCCTGACCGCAGTGAGAAATCTGCGTCGCGACCTTCCAAAGTCAGGCGTGGAATGTGTTTTCCTCCACGGATCACTGGAGCTTCTGCGATGTTTCTTGTGCGGTCGCGTGTGCTCGTGGGATGACGACGAACGCCAGCTCGAGACAATGTCAGGCCAGCAACCTGAATGCCCTCATTGTGTAGGCGCTACGGTTGCTCGAGAAGAACGCGGCAAACGAGCATTAGGTGTCGGAAAATTAAGGCCCGACATTGTGCTCTACGGCGAGGAGCATCCCAACGCACATCTGATTAGCCCCATTGTTACACACGACTTGGCTCTCTGTCCTGACCTCCTATTAATCCTTGGTACTAGTTTGCGAGTCCATGGGCTGAAGGTCATGGTCAGAGAATTCGCCAAGGCAGTTCACGCAAAAGGTGGTAAAGTTGTCTTTGTCAACTACACCAAGCCACCAGAGAGTTCATGGGGTGATGTTATTGACTATTGGGTTGAGTGGGACTGCGACGCCTGGGTATCTGATCTACAAGGCAAAATCCCCAAACTATGGCAAACGCCCGAGCCTCCCAAACTTAAGAAGAAGCGGGAGTCTAGTGGTGTTGCTGAGGACACCGAAAAGACCGAGATGAAACGCCCTGTTGCAGCTTACCCAGTTGCCCTCCGTGATACAAAGGCTACGGGGGCATATTGGAGCTCGAGAATAGTAAAAGAGCTGCACAGGATAACTGGCCACGATCCCCTAGAAACACCAATCTTTACACCACCAGCCATTGTCACAACAACAGAGGCTCTCCCACCTGTCCTAACGCCTGTCGACACGCCTGCCGACACGCCTCCGAAGATACCCCAAGGCAAACCTGATAGAGTCAGAACTAGAGCCCAACGGTCACGCAAATCTGCACCAGGTGTTCTAGAACGAGCCAGTATGCCTCCCTCGACGCTCAATCCCAATCATGGGCGAACTCTGCGAAGTGCCGAGACAAGGGTGCACCTCTTAGGCGATGAGATGGCGCCTCCGAATGAAATCAGTACGCCTGAAAGCGTGCTTCTCCACGGAAGCTCGATAGCCAGCCTAGTCAAGTCGAGAGCACGAGAGCGCAAGCGCAAGAAGATTGATGGCGAGGAAGTGTCTCTTCCATCCAAGCGAACCCTAGGTTCACTACGGCTGGCTCCATTGAGGCCTCAGCCATCAGATCCCCGCGATATCATACCTTTCGACCGACTGCCGACAATGGAACTCCCTCCAGATACCCCGAAACCATTCACAGAAACTGGACAACTGCAATCTATCTCGCCGGTGATGCATCATACGGAACCGTTGATGCCTGTTTCGCATAACACGCGAAAGCAGGCACATATCCGACGTAGTCAAGCATCTTTCATGCGCGGCCAGGATCTCGCTGGAAGTCCGGCGCCTATGCTGCCACCAGAGATGTCACATGGACTGTTGGTGTCTTCGCATGAGCGGTGCAACCTGGTCATGAAGCATGTTCGCTCACAGAGGGAAGCGGATGCAGCTTTGGCGCTGTCTGCGCTGAGCCAGGGCGATCCACGCCCAGTCATCACCAAAGAGTTCTCCATACCACCGTGTACGGGCGTCGGGATACGCAAGTCGGCAAGGCTGATTCACAGGTCTAGCACGCCTACGAGTACCTAAGGCAGAGGTTGTTGTCTTATGACGGACGGTTGCAAATTTCACATACAAAGAGTCGCAGATTAGCGAGAACATCAGGGCTGAGATCCCTCGGAGCATTTATGACATGGCGTTGGGAATGGCGGATAAGCCACGTAGCATTACACTACAATTGATTGAATGAAAGTTGACTTTCTTTTTCGAAGACTCACTTCACTACTCAAATGCTGATTAATTATTCGCCGCGATCGGCGCATGCCAAGGTAACTCTTGAAGAATTGGAGACCCTCCCCAAGCTCTAGGTATCTCGTCTACGCTGGCGTTGAGCATTGTCAATGACTCCTGTTGCTCTCCGAAGAGCGCCTTACCACGCCCTGATGCGGGTACCCACGGGGTCGGTCCCGGCTCTGGCGACTAAGGGCGTCGTTGACGTTGAAGATGTGGGGTTTTCAGCTCGTACTAGACAGTATCATTTGACTCATGATAGCATGAGCTGATAATCTATAAGTTGTCGTGTCAAGCCCATCACAGACAACTTTTAATGGGACGAATATATAACCATTAGACACCTAGCTACTAACCATACAAGACACACATCAACATGGGTTCCATTGGTCAAGGATCTTCGCATCAGCTTCCTGTGCGGGGCAAGACTAACACCTCAGTCTTTGGAAGCGCTATTCAGAAGGAGTTTATGTTTGATCCCGAATGGAGAAATCTTAACCATGGTAGGAATGAGTCGAGGTGGGAGTGAGACTTCAGCTGACATGACTTATAGGTTCCTTCGGCACATATCCTCAGGCTGTCCGAACAAAATTCCGCGAGTATCAGGATGCGAGGTAAATACACTCGATCATCTGATTGTGATCTTTGGTCTAATAATTGTTAGTGAAGCTCGCCCTGACCCATTCATTCGCTATGAGTACCCAAAAATCCTCGATGAGAACCGTGCTGCTGTCGCAAAGCTTCTTAATGCCCCAGTGGACAGTGTTGTGTTTGTCTCAAACGCCACTACCGGGGTTAACACAGTCTATCGAAACATGAAGTGGAATGAAGACGGAAAGGACGTCATCATCAGCTTCTCGACCATCTACGAAGCTTGCGGCAAGGTTGCGGATTATTATGTCGACTACTACGACGAAAAAGTGACTCATCGTGAGATCGAGCTCACATATCCTCTTGATGACGACGAGATCATCAAGAAGTTTGAAGATACTGTCAAGAAGGTCGAGTCCGAGGGCAAGCGGGTTCGTATCTGCACGTTTGATGTTGTTTCCTCTCGACCCGGTGTTGTCTTCCCGTGGGAAGAAATGGTCAAGGCTTGCCGTCGTCTCAACGTGCTGAGCATGGTTGATGGCGCTCAGGGCATCGGAATGGTAAAGTTGGACATCTCCGCCGCTGATCCAGACTTCTTCGTGTCGAACTGTCACAAGTGGCTTCACGTACCACGAGGATGCGCCGTCTTCTACGTGCCTCAGCGCAACCAGGCACTTATCCAAACGACACTCGCTACCAGCCATGGGTACGTGCCGAAGCTGGTGAAACGCATCACACCGCTCCCTCCCAGCTCCAAATCTCCATTCGTCATCAATTTCGAGTTTGTCGGCACCCTTGATAACTCGCCCTATCTTTGCGTAAAGGACGCTATCAAATGGCGAGAAGAAGTCCTCGGCGGAGAAGATGCCATCTTGGAGTATATCTGGGACTTGAACAAGAAAGGCAGCGAACTAGTAGCTGAGAAATTGGGCACGACATATATGGAGAACAGCACCGGCACATTGCGAAATTGCGGCATGGCTAACATTGCGTTGCCCGTTTGGACTGTGGAGGGTAAAGAGGGTGCGGTTGTCATCTCAGCGGAGGAGACACAGACGGCGTTCCAGTGGATTCTGAATACGCTTATTGGAGATTACAAGACGTTTGTGGCGCTGTTTCTGCATGGGGGAAGGTTTTGGATCAGGACCAGTGCTCAGGTTTATTTGGAGATTGGGGACTATGAGTGGTTAGGTGGTGTGTTGAAGGAGGTTTGTGAGAGGGTTGGTAAGAAGGAGTATCTCAAGTAGAATCTCATGTGTATGAGATCTCAGTGCTTGGGAAATCTTACTGGCCGATGAGACTAATTTGGCAGGGATTTATATCATAAGGCATTTCAGACATAATCTAGGTGTACTCAGCACCAAAATTGCAAACGAATAGGAATTTTCCTCGTGAAACAGTTGCTCCTGTAAGCGTTGCAATGTTGAAGAGTCCCAGGGGTGAAAAACTCAAGACTTTGCAAACAGATGCGAGAACAAAGTCATTCAAGAGCCTCTTAGTTAAGGATTCTTTACACCTCCTAACACTTTCATCACTTGGTACAGTCTTTAGTCCCATTGACTCGGCTAGAGTGTTGGTGTTCATTGGCACCTGTCTTGCGGCTAGATAAGATGAAGGATGAAGGATCGAGGCGAAGCTTTGCTGAACTAGGATAGGGTAACTCGATGGCAATGGTTTACCTTGATTTTTTACGCCCTATAGATATTCGGAAACCAGATCGGGAATACGGCATGGCAAGCAGGGATCTGCGGGGGCTGAGGGTGTCAATCAATCGCCCTGTTTGTATGAATACGCTGTGTGCCTCGTGACGCTAGGCATTCAGCTTCCAACGACCATTCGCCCCAGCAATTCTATAAATACGGATGTTCTAGAAGCTCACCTGCCAAGAAAGTTATCAGCTTCACTATTCCACAGCAAGTCATCTTCACTGCAAAGAACAGAAATCCAATCAAGAATAGAAGCCTCTCTATCAACAATACCAACAATACCAACATGGGCAACTCTTCGTCTTCCTCATCAAATCCCTCCGAAGAGGCCAAGGACAAGAAGACGCTGTATGAGCGCTTCCAAGCCGGCAAAAAGAGCGTACCACTTAGCGATGAAGATATACTAAAGTACACGGGCAAGACTCGCGATGAGCTCAGCGCTTGGGCTGATACTCAACCCGGTGTCGGAAAGAATCAACTCGCGGGTAGCGCAACAGCTGGGCCGATTTCTGGACTTGGAGGAGTTGCCATGGCCGACGGCCTCGGGGGCTGGGGACCGAGTGCACATCCGAACGATAAAAACAGAGGAATGAAGTTCCCTCCTACGAGGGAGAATGAAGCCAAGGACATTACAGAGGTGACAGAAGTAGTGGAGGATAAGAAGTGACGGTATTACAAGTGGGAGAAATTATGATATCACGACAGCGCGATTAATGACATAGTAGACAATTGTTCAATTTATAATTGCTTTACTTGGCTTCTATTTCGAGGGACATTCAACTTTGGGTTTTATGTTTTCCAAACTTGAGTCGGTCAGACTAAATGAATGACGAGGCTCCATGCCTCGAATGAGAGACGAGGTCCAGGATCCTGAATTCACATGTTCCATTTCCCAGAAATGACCTTCTTCCATGGTCTCGCTTAAAGATCGTTCTGCTTCTTGCGAGTGTCGAAGATCTTGAGAGCTTCCTCGGCAGCCTTCAGACCACTGAGAGCCATGGCACCGAAGGTAGGGCCTGATGTACGTTAGACGAAGTACATAGCAAAATGGACACATAAAACTCACCCATGCGGTTGGCACCGTCAACCTCAGAAAGCTCCATTCCACCAACAATAAGACCGGGAACAATCTCGCGGGTTCCCTTGACAATGGCATCCTCAGCGAGGTTCATGTCAAGACCACGCATACCACCAAGCTTCTCAATGCGCTGCATGCTGACAAGGCGCTTGACACAGAAAGCTCCCATGGGGCCGTCATGGCCGGTGGTGGAGATGATCAAAGGAGCGTTAATAGTGTTGGGGTCCATGCAAGACTGGTCATCGTGGTGCATGGAAACAAGAGTCCAGTTGGTGACAACACCGGCAATACGGACTCCCTCCTCGGAAGGTCGGGTGATGAGATCCTCAACACAAGTGGCATTGAAGAGCTTGATGTTGGGCATCTGAAGAACCTTGGACATGATGGTCGAGGTGAAGAGGGCAGCGTGCTTGACAACAACATAATTACCCTCATCTTCATAAGGAACACCGACCTCCCGGAGGAAAGCATCAGCAGGCTTGCGCATGATCATGGCGGAGAAGAGCTGTCCACCAAGCCAAGCACCACCACCAGGAGACACAGAAGCCTCGATGATGGCGATCTTGAGATCGGGACGCTTCTTGCCAAGGATGTAGGCAGCGCTGAGACCGCAGGAACCAGCACCGATGATAACAATGTCAGACTCGGCATAGTTATCAAGGTCCTGGAAGTAGCGACGAGTCATGGCGCGGGAGACCTGGCTCTCACGGATGGGAGCAAACTTGAAGTCATCCCACTGACCGAGCATCTCCTCAACAGTCTTGGTATTGATGTTCTTGCTCATGACTGGGAGCTTGGTAGAGGTAGCAAGCTCTGCAGAGCGAGAGGGAGGGGAAACAGCAGCAGGAGGGGCCATTTTGATCTTGGGCCTATTGTTGTTAGAGTCTAGTGGTCAATAGGGGAGATGACATGATCCTTTCGCTGGTATTATCCAGATCAAGTTTTGCCGTATAATCTCAGCCACATCCCCCTATCATCAACACGACCAGTCTGGACTGATCATGTTGATGAGAGAAGAATGGGCACCGGCTCATGCATGATACTTTACCTGAGAGGTCCCAATCAGGTCTGGACAAGACTACCGCTGAAAGGCTCCATGGCTGCTAAGATAGCTTAGGAGAGCCGTACAGGTTATGATATCTAGCATATCATATGTGTCAGAGCAGCCCTTTCATACAGTGCAGATACAAACCTTGGATGTTCTTCGAGTACTTTAGGTCGAGTCGATGAATTGATGAAGAGAAAAAGAAGAAGAGTTGAGAACGGAATGGCCTTGTCCTTTTTATGCCCGCAGGTGAGGGGTAAAAGTAACCCGTTGATATCATGACGGAGCAAAGCGGCCGATGCTTGACCAACAGAATGCAATGCCGAGTATTACCTACTGTAGACGCGTGTTTTTGATAGGTGAGTGTGTGGGGGGTCTCTTGTTAGTTGAAGATGACTGCCGGGGTTACACATCATGAGCAATATCCCCCTCCATCATATCATGTATCATGATGTCAACTCAGTCACATCAATTGGCCTTCGTTTCATCCCCAATGACTTATCTAGTGCCTAATTTAGAGTAAATTACCTCCTACAATAGAAAGACTGAGAAAAATACAAAGAAAAGCCCAGCTGTTGAGCATGTGAATGTCCTTCAAGGTGGGGGATCCTCAGTTCCACTGAATGCGGCTTTTAACCGGCCATGACATGACAGAATGAACATGTCAACAACCCACTCTCTAACTTTACTGATGCATCGGAGGTGTAATGCCGAGTCGAATGAGACTTTGAATAGCCAATCATCATGTGTGTAATTATCTAGCTACTTAGCGATGTTCAGGGTTTTAATGCTGACACGGCACTGAGTTGTATCACCAAGTAATATGGCAAGACCTGAATGGCAGAGTTCATGATACGAAGTTGAGGTCAGCTGTATGAGTTTAAACATATGAGAATATACGTATCGAACAAGTAGAAATATATCATGATGTCTCTTAAACATTCACGAGCTATCTTTGTTTCTCTCGAGTTGCATCGTTACATCCATGAGCGATATGTACATCACCACGCACAAGGGAGATATTGGCTGTATTCATTTGCCTCGCAACAGGTGGCATGATCTTTCTCTAAGCGAGCTGGCTGCATCCATAACTACTCTAGCCTCCCAGCTTGACTACCTGATAGCATTCATGAGACCATACTGCATTGCGTCCAGATAAAAGTGCCATCAACCTGGCTAATAATAGACGTCGAAATTGTAGTTATATTTGCTACATACACTTTTCGACATGTAGTGTCCGCAGTATTCGGTAGACTCAATCGTCATCTTCTTGTTCTCCTCCTTCATTTCCATTCCGCAGTCGCACATTGCGAGTACCAATGCACACAGCTTGGCATCGTTTCGAACCCCCGTGAGGCTCAACATTTCGTACTCCAATTGCTGGGTGGTGCTCAGATTGGAATTGCCGTATATCGGCAGAGTTCCTCTGGGAATTGATACAACAAGGCTCCGCTCGGGATTTTTGAGCAGTGGCGATATAGATCGTCTTTCGATCTGGGGGCTGTCACCCTTGAAGCAGGCCAGGATTCTGTATTCCGTGTAGTCGATGCCACCTTGAACGAGAAGTTCTCCACGAAAGTAAGCGAGTTTTGGTCGCAGTTCACTGCTTGAGCTCGGGCCTTCATGGTCTATGAGGCATTGTGCGATATTGTATGCATCGTAGACTCCAGACAAGTCTTTCAACCAAACCGCAACAATCATGATTCCCTTCCCTTTTTTCTCGATAAGGCGTTTCCTCCAGTTCAAAGCCCTCTCCCATGATCTGAAGAATGAGACGAACGGTGTTCTATCACGCTTCCAAGATAGATGGTTCTCGGCAGCCTGCCAGAAGTCGTCGTCAGATATGTAACAACGAGGTCGAATGCTGCTGAAGTTGATTGAGTGCTGGCTAGCAAAGTCACAATTTTTGTCGTGACATTCTACGCGAAATCCTATCAGCGCATCTACCGCCTCTGGTAATTGGCGCGGATAGTTCATGTTGAGAAATGAGGATACTTCTTTGGCTTTGGTTGTTGGTGCCAGTCTTCTCCAAGTTCTCATCTGCGCGGGACGATAGGGAACTTCATATGTTGGTCTAGGAAGACTCACTCAGCGCAGGTGACTCTTCAAGATCTGATGACACAATCACGTGGTTTCGACTACAAACAATAGGTCAATGAAAACAAATTTATCCAGACAAACGAGCCTCCCAACGTTAATATATATATTTGTAGGGGCTGCATAACTGTCTTCACAAGCATCTAGGGAATATCAGCGACAAGTTAGAAGCCCATGAATCTTGGCACAAGTTTACAAAAGACACCAGAACCTTGCATGCATGGACGACTTATTATTAAACTGTTCATCCCATTCGTCAATTACATGCCAGATACGATAGAGTCCCGAGAAGCTACCTTGACATCCTGACATTGAAGGATTCCATAAAGAAGTTCGCTCAACAATGTCAAAACTATGTTATAGCCGTAGCTAGACGTTGTTGTGTTTCTGAAGCTGGCGGCATCTTCTGGTACAGGATTTCAATCCTGACTGAGACGACTCCTACGTACAGCTTCAGGCGATGCACACGGCAGTCGCCACAAGTACATATTAGTGAGGGAAACACCATTGGGCCCGGTCTCCCTTATACCTACCTTAAGGGTTGAGTGCTGAAAAGAGGAAGTTGCGTGAATAAGTAGTCTTACTTGACAAAGGCTACAGATCGTGAGTTTGGCAAACAATAGGGGTTTGATCTTGAGCTCTAGTCCATCAAGCAATCAGATAGTAACTTACATATCCATCCAGAGGCCTTGAGTATCGATCGCCAGGACTTCTGGAGGGATTAACTTACCACTTAGCATTGTTTCTCGTGTAATGTCCGGGCCAGGGGTCATGTGGAGGAGAGTTCCAGGAGGGGACCAGACACTCACTCATAACCACATCGCAAGACCAAGCTCTACATATCAGATATAACATTCCTTATGAATCGCTTGATGCAGTGCTATCTAAGCATTTGCTAATGCCATCTGTATCGCCTATTTAACAATAGCAAAGTGACTTGTCTTCGCTCGGACCCCGCCTGCGACCCTGCGAAGCAGCACCCGTTAAGATTGCGGTACTGGGTTCTGTTATGGCTACTGAAGGACGGACTGAAATCACTTCTTGTTTTATTTATAGCCCTCTCGTCTCTTTTTGCTTCGTGTCATACCTGTGTCATTGCTTGTTGATCCGAGCTCTAGTTCATGGCTTCATAGATGCAAGGGTTGCAACAGAGGTTAAGTGAGAACACGCAGGGGCTAATATGCACAGGCCCAAGTGTTGTATTTGAGTCATATTCTCGAGTTAACTCTTTCGTTCACGTCCGTTAAAATGTAGGACGAAGTCTGTTGTGACCCAGGGCTTGACAGTTTAGGGGATTACTCTACCGTTAAGAAAAGCAAACATGCAACGGGACAAACTTCATATGAATGACATTGATTATATTACTTCTCATACTATGTTTAAGGAAATCTCTTTGTTTGTCCGTCTGTCAAGAGTACTAACTGCACAAAAGAAAGCTCATATCGACGATGTCCTTCTCCAAGACTTACTCTACTGCAAGAGTAAGGCAGACAAACGTAGGTTCATGTCGACAACTATACTCAAACTCGCATACAATCTATCTCACAAGATATTAAGATATATATGGAGATCTATGTCTTCTTCGTTGATGTTTTGGCGGAGCTGTCACCTGGTATCTGCCTAGTGCTTGTAAATATTGTGTAACACCTTCGTCAAAGGCGCGCAGCAATGGCCTGAAGAACAATGAACTTCAAGATAGGACATCCTCACACAAGTAAATCCACTAAGGAATAGGTTGTAAGTCTAAATAACCCTTAAGGGTTGCATCTCTAACAGCAAGCATTCAGGAGGATATCATCGGTGAAGGACACATTGAATAGCATCGAACCTTGATAATCACTGCATGTTGTTCTCTTCATACCTCAAGATTGCTATATATACTTTATGTATTCGTTTAATGCGACTGCAAGCTCTCTTATGTGAAATTTCTGGTGGCTCCAACATCCTCTTCTCAGCAACATCGTCAAGATGAGGCCGAACATTACAACTTCATGGCGTCCTTCCTACTGTTCGCACTAGACATACACATTATTCGACGAGATTTGAACTACCCTACGGTTTTCTTACTCTGTGTAGAGAATTTCGACAACATTCAGTGATGGTGATGTACAGGGTCCACAGTCACAGTCTGTTACTGTTCTCATTCTCACCAGCTTCACACTCTCGCTCTCGTATTCAAGCTTAAGGTTAGGCCTAAGTCAGACTATTGAGCATCACATTCCTGAGCATATGCTCGTCGACAAAAACAGCCACACCGCCAAAGAGCCTCAACATGACATCCAAGTGTGCATGGTGACTGACGAATGACACTCTCTAAATCTGTAACAGATGCATAACACCTGCATGGCATGCTCTACGTTTCGTGCCTCATTTCTTCTTAAGTGTCGAGTCGAGACTCGCCAACTCTGTAGCGGTGAACAATTGAATGCCTCATGAACAGACATTCGCAAAACAACGTTCACCACGTCTTCCGCAGCGTAGATGCAAGTATCTCTGGTTTGGGAAGTTGACTGCAGACGCAGTAGCATCGCTCTCAAGAGAGGGGAACTGTCATGTGCGCTTCAAGCAGAGTCCTCAACAAGAGTAAAAAGACTGCCCATTTAGTGATTGCGCATTTGCCTTCGTTGCATCTGTGAGGCTATAGAACGAACAGGATGCCCTCCTTCCTACTGTTGAGATGGCGGTGAGCCAAGTCGCTGCATTATGAACAATCCAATCACAGACGATAGCACGCAATGTCTCACATTGAGGTTAGATTTGCGAGGTTTGATCTTGGAGCATCTTCTTCTCATTTGCATATGACGAGTGATGCACATGATACATTGAAAAGGAACCGGGTTTGAAGATTCGACGAGGGGCTGATCTGAGAGACTTGGAGTAACCCCATTAAGAAGTGTAGACTGATTGGGAGACTCGGCAGGCAAAGAAATGCAAGTCTGACCATGCAGCCTCATTCTGTAGATCAGGGCAGATCGAGCATTGCATCCGCCCCATTCGTGCAGTAACTTAGGTAGGGTAGCAGCACATACATCCAGTGATATGACGATTTCAGTCTTGTACCTTAGAGCGAGACTGTTTGGAGTCCATCACAGTACTAAACTCTGTTCAAAATTAGTTTCTCTAGTACGCACTACGCAGACAGGCTTACGATAATTAACTCATCGTAATGACCTGGAGGCTAGAGAAGCGAAATAACAAACCCGATCTCAGCGGATACCCCAGTTGACACTCCCGTGTCTCACCAGACTCCAGATGCCGCTCACAAGGCGAGACAAGACAAGACAAGAGCAGAGGCAGGGCCGGGAGGGGGGAGCACGGGTCACGGATAGATGATGCCAAGCAAGATTGACGGTCCTGTCGGCCTCTCTTCCTCATCCCCATCCGCATCCCCTATATCCGTAACCAGCGGTGTCCCCTCCGTCGCCGTACAGCACACAGTATCCGTAGGTAGGGGACAATATGCAGCAGCCTCAAAAGAGAAATACCGTCAATGCACTCTTCCCGCCCCGGACCAAGGAGCTTAGTCCCGCGTAGCGGCATCCAATATCTCCGCTAGACCACATGGCCGTCCCCATTCAGAAGCCTCACCTGAGCCCAGCCTTGTCCGTCAGAGCAGTAGCGTGCGGTGGGAGTTCTCTCTTCTCCACAGTCCGATGTGATATGGTTTTTTTTATACTGTACATAAGCGACGTGATGGCATTAAAACAAAAGAGACAACAACAGGCTTAGACTAACTACGAGAGATCGGCACGCCATGCGAAATTACCGGGATCTCCACACGGATGTAAGCCTATGATAGGCTTGTGTTTTAATATGCAGACCATACGTAGATGAACATGGTTCTTTTGCTGCAGCTTTTGCTTTTTTGAGAGCTAAAGGCTCATGATTGCTTTTTATTTTCTTACTGGGCGCGCTCAGGCCGCCCGCCTTAATGTGGTCGACTTTGCGGTCATCCTGGATGAAGAGTCTGTGTTCCATTTGCGTTTGACTCGCGTTGAATGTCGGTCTGAAGGATGCACTGTCAAAGCACGATTGAGTTCGCCCAGAAGGATGGCATCCTTGCCCTTGTAGAGCCTCAACATCTCGTTAACCGGCCTGTTAGGCAGAAGACACAATGATATTGCTCAAACCCATCAGGGCGAAAGATTACGGATCAGCCATGGCCTATCTTCTCGTTGCTGCCCAATCATTGACTGGGAGTCTCCTTGTCAACAGTTGACAACTACAGTGCAAGGAAACCCTTTACAGTAAATACTTTATAGTTGGCCTTGGTCGTTTAGGGATCGTATTCGTCTTGCTGCCTTGTACCTGCGGCGAGTTATCCCAAGGCCAGGCCTGCGCCCACAACGTGTTTTGAAAACATCAAGATGATATCCATTGTAAAATTCACGGCAACTCGGTTTCAGAGGAACCAGGGTGGTCTTGAGAACCCGGGAACATTAAAAACTTGATAGTCAAATCACCTGGCCTGGTTTGAGATATAGTGATATGGATATAAGCGCGGATGCATGCATACAGAAACAGTGTCAACGAGCCCTGTTAGAACTCGGTGTATCTATTCAACGTTTGGATTTCATTATGCCAACGTTTTCCTAGCCGTCTAAGACGTTAAATATTGCCTTCAAGCCGTTCATGTCTAACTATCACTTCTCAAAAGCATGACATATTCATCTTCGTTTACCACTTGGAAAAGAATAAATCAAGATATATCACCAAACTGCTACAGTGTCCACTACAACGAAACAGCTCGAGATCACCGAGAAGCAGGAAGTGGCAATGCTACGCAATCTCCTGTGCTTGTCTCATCTGAAGTTGAGATGCAACTCAAGATCGTACCTTGCACCAAAGACAGTAATTAAGATACGTCATTTCGGAGAATC